ACCTGCCCGGGGGGTGGGGGACAGAGCGGGCTTGGGGGAGCCCTGCCTTCCTCCGCACCTCTCCTGGGGAGAAACGCCGCAGTTAAGTTTTAGGGTTGGTTTTACTTTTTCTCTGCAATACTTTTTAAAGGTACAATTTACACAAAATGGAATGCAGATTCTATGAGTCACAGTGTGATGTTTTTGACAAATGCATACACCATGTCACCCCCCCCCCCCAGGGGCCCTTTTTGCCGGAAGCAGTCAACCAGAAGTCACTCTATTGCCATGGGTTAGAGTTGCCTTTTCTAGAAATCCCTGTGTCCTCTTTGAAGGCTTTTCCCGCTCTTTTCGTTTTGGCAACTCACCCACGTTTCTGTTCACTGAGTAGCACTACAATGTGTCCACTCGCCAGCTGCTGGGCATGCGAGTTGTTTCCAGTTTAGGGCGATTATAAAAAACGTTTCCACAAACATTCGTGTGTGTGTGTGTGTGTGTGTGTGTGTGTGCGCGCGCGTTCATTTCCGTTAGGCAGGCCCGGGGGTGGGAGGGCTGGTGCGTGAGCTCGGGCTCAGGCTCCCTTGCTTCTGCGCGCTTTCTGCAGTTGCCTCCCGCCGGGCCCACGCCCTCTCTCTCGGGACAGCAACCAAGCATGTGTGCTGGTGACGTTAACTGAAGGCGAGCCTCCCAGAACCGCCTGCTCTGACCAGAGTCCACGTGCTTTAGCAATTTTTAGTGTCCCATATTTTCATTGTAAATAATTAACTTTAAAATTCTGAAATCTTAGCTTTTCAGAAAAGCTAAATATTTCAACTTAGATGTTTGAGCCTAATTATATCCATGCCATACAATTGGTTTTCTATTGTAGGCACTGAACAACCAAGAATCTTTTCAACACTGATAAGAACTAAAGCAGAACTTTTGACAAATGACTAGCACTAAAAAAGGCAGGAAGGAAGAGTCCACATTACCCAAAACAAGAAAAAACACACAAGACCATTTTAAAATAGAAAATGAATTCATAGGCAAGTTGAATAAAATCATCTGAACTTGAAGTCATTTTGATTAATTTCCTAAAAAATCAATTAAGTTTCCAGTGAGTCTCCAAATAAGTTTTGACTGCAAAACAGTGAAGTCACTTTTAATGACAGCCTTAATATTTGCATTTAATTTGTTTCTATGTCCATACTTCCAAGACTATATCGCTGTTAAAATCTCATCCTTACTCAGTTGACGTCAGAAGTGGAGTTGCAATTCTTTTGCAAAGCCCCAGGCTGCACCTTGCCATTTCCAGTGCAGAACTAAAGATAAACTAAAAATAAGTCATGAAAAATGCAAAGATCTGCTTGACTCAGGTGCCCCCAGATGCAACACATCCTGAATAGAAGTAAAATGAAATCCCATTCCTGATTTCCCTAATGTAAGATCTGCCATAGGGCTGGCAATACTATGTACACCAGTGTACTTTTAACACTAATAATGAACCAGATGAGAAAGTTAAATGAATATCTATAACCTAAAAGGCCATCATTCTAAAGTAAGAAAAAGCAACTCATATTATGGTTCCAACTATTCTAAAAAGATGACTGGAATGAGACCAGAATCTACACTAATAAAAGAGAAACATGCAAATTGGTATCACTCCGCTACACTCAGCCAATCAGGATGAGTATGCAAATTAACCCAACAAAGATGGCGATTAATTTGCATATGCAGACCAAAGAGGCTTGCCTTCTCCTCTGTGGCCAGAGCTAAGGCCTGGGTCCCGGGGTAAACCGGTGCCGGCAGCCAGGGGAAGGAAGGCTTATTGCACGAATCTCTTCGTGCAACGGGCCTCTAGTGAAATATAAAATGTTATCAAAATAATAAAAGAAGCCTGTAGAGCCACAGGTGATATTTCTTTCTAAATCTTAATTTTTTAAATCATGGTTGTTATATTTTTGATAGGAAAACAAATTATAAAGGGTTCAAGAATGAGCATGTACTTTAAACTGTAAATTAACATTTTATTGAAAGCATCTTTTCAAATTACAGCATGTTTATTTCTTATGCTGTTAATTCTGCCAAACTACAGCTTAGCCATATGAAGCATAAAACACTTCAAAAATTTGAATGTAAACCACATTTTTAAAACAAAAAGCAGTCCTAACACACCTCAGATTTTAAATGCCAATGTATTTTGTCCAAGTATATAGCTTATATCAAAAAACCCTTAGCTTATGCCCAAGAATCTACTTTTGAAGTATTATATTTTAAATATTTCTATAGTAAATAGTTGTAATAATTTCTGAAACTTTCAATTATACAAAGAATGTGAATATAACTATTATAGTTGACAAAAGCTGACCAGAGAAACAAAAGCCCTTACTTTTGAAGGCTTTAACTTGTATTATTTTTGAATTGGCAAGTATTTTGAATTGGCAAGTATTTGTATTTTTTAAATTCTTACCATCTTCCTTCTTTATGTAATTTCATCAAATTTTAGATTTCCCAAGACTGATAAGTGTTGCTTTTTATAATTCATTTAAATCATACTTGAAAGGAAAAATCTAGAGAAAAATGTTGAGAGCTAAACCAAGAAAATTCAATGCTATAGTCTCTTTTACTGTGCCTATAAGTGCTCCAAGTTAAAATTCTATATATCAGATTACAAACAAAATTCTTAGACCATTACCAATATAAATTTTCTTATTTAAAAAATCCTTCAAGATCTGTAATTTACTGTACTGAGGATTACATTTGTAAAGTATGTCCTCATCATATACATTATTTGTTATCATCTTTCACACTTTTGTTCCTTTTCAAGGCATTTAATCCCTCCCCTCCCCACAGCTACATATGTGACACTGTGACTGCAACACACTGGGATTTGGGGAGAAAGAAGCATATATTTTAGATAATGTTTAAACCATATCTGTCGGCCACGAAGTAAAAGGCGCTGGAGAGCCATGTTTCCCTCTATTATTCTGAGGTTTACTCCAATTAAGCAATCTATAAAAATTTCTGTTGTTCATGTTATTTAGTTTCTGCTTAAAACAAAGGCTAAACTGATCGAGGCTTTTGCCTACATAAAGGAGGTGAACCGCTCAGCTCTTGATTTGTCTGTTCATGCTTCAGTACATAAAGTGGTGTTTAACACATTGTATGCGGGCCCTTTTTGCTTAATTTTTGCACAAATGGCAACATTCAGTAAAATTACGATAACTTTAGTTTTACATATTTTTTTTTCAATGAAATTTTTTGTGATTTACTATAAAATGTATACTGAATTATTTTTCTTAAATTTTAAACAGACAAATACTGGAAAACTCACTGGAAAATTGTGTTTACCAGTCAACGTAAAACGTATAAATACGTTTCCCACATCCAATGTGTTAAAAATGGCATCTATTTGGAAAAAATGGTTTAAAACCACCACACAAGTTAACACACATGCAGTTAAAACTATCCCAGAAGCCTACTTATTTGAGTAGCTAATCTTTTCTGCAGTGTTTAACTGATAGTTGAATTTAGTGAGCACAAAATAGTTTGGCATGTTATTCTGAAAAGCAAGAAGGTGGCTTTATGCACTGAAAATATAAATAGGCAGCTTTCATTTGCTAATTCTAAACAAGCAGTACAATTGAAATTTAGTGTTTGCTAACAAAAGATCTAAAACAGTTCACTACAAAACAACCCTGTAGATGTCCCTTTTATTAATAAAAATCCAAGTGCCAAATCTCAGTACAGGGCCCATATTTAAAAAAAAAAAATTACCAGGTTACCTAGACTTTGCAAGATTAACCACTCAATTTCAGCAAATGAGAAATATGAAATGTGCAAAAGTTCCCAAGTTAAGAGAGGGATAACAAGTGCTTTTCAAAACTAAACATCATAGTAAGTTGTAAAGCCTCAGAAAGATAGAATAAGACCAATTTTACTCCAATTTTAAAAATTCTGAACTATTATGCATCTTACCAAGATCCTCAAATATCTACTTTTCTTTCAAAATCCGTAACTTAGGACATCTTCTGAAATAGGCAGTTTTCCATTTCTCTAGTCTTATTAGTCACACTATTTTGCAATTTAAAAACATCTTTCACACATCTTCCACTTTCTCACTTACTTCAGTGTTGACAGTATTGTTAAACGTACTAGTACAAATTGTTAAAAATGATCTTATAAATAATCTCTCCTAACCTTCTTTGGCTACATGTCCGATTCTACTTTCGTTTTTTTTCCCTAAAAGTGTCTTATTCTGAAAGTGCTTCCTGTGAAAACTGCTTCCAATGAATGCATTAAACTTGCAAAATCTAGCTTCCCACAATACGTAGTTTCCTACCCTGTACTAGAAGTCCCATATTTACAAAATATTTTAAACTTTACAACAATCCATTACCATATAAAAAAAGTGCAATTCTCTCTCACCCCATATTTTGGGGCAATAACATTCTTCATCAATTTCTACAGAATAGCAGCCTATGGTAAGCAAATAAGGTGCTTAGCTTATGCCCAAGGATCTACTTTTGAAGTATGCTGGGCAGTACTTTTGTACAGTGGGAGTCAGTGTGCAGGCTACTGGCGGAGCGGCGCGCCGGTCAGGTTGGCGAGCTCGATGAGCGCCAGGGCTCCGTGCAGGCGCTCGCGCTGCTCCTGCAGCCGCCGTTGGGCCCCGCTCTTCTCGTCGTCCTCCTCGTCCGACTGCAGGTATTCCAGAGGGTCCTGCTGCTCCTGGTCCGCCTTCTGCGCGAGCTTTCCCTTCAAGGTGGGGGTGCGCTGCTCTTTTGTTTCCCAATACCTACGGGACATGCAACCGCGTGAATTAGAGGGTATAGATGACATCCTCAAAGGTTTACTTTGCTTGTTTAAAAAACGGTTCTCTACCACGGTATTCAATGCGTTTTAGTTCCCAAAGTTACAGAATGATTTCACATTTATTATACACCTTTCTCATTACAGAGGAAACAATTCAAGTTCAAGAAGTTGAGGGACTTTCTCAGGTTTTCAAAAACTGGCAGTTCTGGGTCTCATACTCAACTCTCTAATCATGTGTTTTTGCCATTAAACTATGCCTTAAAGATCATATGTAAAATGCACTAAGGTATAGAAATAGTAGAGCAAATAAATATTAAAAACCTATTTATACTATCCACAGAGGGATGGTGACTTCTGACTGAGTTAACTAAGAGAAACTTAAAACTTACAAAATATGATTTACAGATTAATATCTGTAACACATAGAACTTATTCAAAAATTTAAGAACACCACCATTATTCTATGACATGGCCAACTGGTGATTCACAAGAGAAAATGCAAACTTGGTAAATTAAAGAAATAAATGACAGTATCATTATATCCAAAAATGCCCCTACAAAGACTTGTATATTAATGTTTATAACAGCCTTATTTATACCCTGCAATAACCCAATGTCCGTCAACAGATGACTGAATAAACAAGTTGAAGTATAGCCACACAATGGATTACTACTCGGTGATAAAAAAGAATGAACTATTGACACATGGATGAATCTCAAAATAATTGAGTGAAAGAAGCCAGACAAACAGGGAGTGCATACTGTATGGCTTCACTTGTATAAAACACTAGAAAATGCAAACTAATGTATAGTAACAGGAGTAGGTCAGTGTTGTTCAGGTAGAAGTGGGAGGAAGGGATTATGAAAGGGCTTGAGGAAATGCTGGGAGTGATGAATATGTTCATGATCTTGATGGGTGATGATTTCACAGATGCAAACGTGTCTAAATGTGTGAAATTGCACACTTTAAATATTTACAATTTATTATATGTCCATTATACCTCAGTAAACCTGTTTTTAAAATTAGATACAAAAAAAGGACAACTACTAGATGTCAGGAAATCCAGGCTACTCAAACTGGAAAAGTTGTGGCAATACTCAGAGGTATAAAAAAAGAAATGCAAATAGTTCAGTCTCACTTGAAGGACAACTAGAAAAGGAGAGTGGCAAAAGGTAAGTTTAACTGGGTCTGCAGGGACCAGGTATGGAAGGGCTTTGAATGCCATAATAGAGTTTAGACTTCGTACTGAGGATCACACAGCATTTTACAAAGATCCTGTGGAAGCAGCATGGAGAATGGATTGAGAGGGATGACGTAGCTCAATGTGAGTTGTTAAGGAAGTAGATGGGAGAGAGGATAAAGACAGGATGACCAACAAGTTGCTGGCTTGGGCCAAATTAGAGATAAGGGGGCAGTGGAGGCCAGCCAGGAGGAGGGAGCGGAGGTAGGAAGTGATGCAGTAGCAAGGCAGACACAAGCCCTGCTCTGTGGAGCTTAGTGCAGCAGGGGAGACGGACACTGAGTGAGTGAATAAGTGTGCCATGCAGGTCTTGAAAGGGAAAATACAGTGTGTTATAAAAGTATCTATTAAGTGAGTCTAACCTGTGTTTTGGGGTTGGTGAGCAGGTCGGGGAAGAACTTCCTGAAGTGAGGTTTAACCTGAGTAAGAAATGAAGACTAAGCCCCGTGGCTAAATGAAGAGGGAAGCAGCATGCCTGCAGAGGCAGCAGTGAGCACGAAGGCCTGGAAACCGCAGGGAGAGCGGTGCTGAGAAACCAGGAGCCAGATGGCATTGCAGAGGGAGGCAGAGCTCCAGCAGCACTCAGGGGCTTAGACTTTCTCCCAAGTGCAGAGGAAGTCCAGAAAGCGAGGGAGTGGCACCCTCAGCAGCTGGCGGTTTGTATAGAAGAGATGACTCCTTACATCAAAATACCCGTAGGGAACATTTTTTATACTGCCCCCCCCCCTTGCTGCCATTAAAAAAAATTAAACTGGGTGATTCTTGGAACATCTCTCTCTATATAGCTCTATCCATATATATCTGTATCTACAGATATGGGGAAATATGGATATACATATATCCCCACAATAATCAGCACAGATCTTATTCTAATATAAGAAAACGAAGAGGCGTTGCACTAACAAATGAAATATGCATTAAATATCCTTTTTAAATGAGGGAAAACTCTTGCTTTTAAAATGCATTGTGGTACAGACAATTACTCAAGAGTAATTAATATCATATAGTTTTCTATCACACACAGGTCCGAATAACACTCCTGTGGTTTAAGAAAATAAAGCACCATTTCAAGTTATTTCATAGAATGTGTATAGAAGCAACTTATTTAAAATGAGAGAACTTCGGAAGTCCCCACGTCAGCCCACGCGCGGGGTGGCCGTGGTCCAGGGGAGCCTTACTTTGCCAACCACTCGGCAGCAGCCTGGTTGTCCACCGCCTGGTGCTTGCTGAGAGCGTCGGTGGGCTCCTCCCGCTTCAGCCTGGCGTAAGGGTGCTTGGGGCAGTGGCGGTTCGCGTGGGTGAATCTGCTCAGGCAGCCTACAGAGCACAGAGGGAAACACCCGTTAGCATCGGGACTGCGGCCCACATGGGAAACGTTCAGTCTCACTGGGAACCAGGAAAAGTAAGACAGACCAGGAGACAGCATTCTCTAACGTGGAGGAGGAAATGAAACCCTAAGCACAGAATTTATCAATGCTCGTGAGGGGGGCGGGCGATGATCTTTCACCTCTTGGTCACTGCGTTATAAATGCACGCAACCCCCCCGGGAAGTGATTCATTTGCATGAGTCATAAATATGGTCAAACCCTCCGACCCTGGGATTCTATTCTCAGGCTCTCTCATAAGGCAACATCCCAAAAGATGAACAAAGCTTGAACAAAGTTTAAGTAGGAAAACGTGACCTTTAGCTTTGTTGGTAACAAACAATTTTTAAAGCAAATTAAATATTCAATATCAATAAGGCAGTCAGTGTGTACAGCTGACTCTTGAACAATGTGGGGTTAGGGCAGAAATCCAGATATAACTAGTATATGCTTCAGCAAATTCACTAGATAAAAAGCCTAAAGACATCTGTAACTGACAATAATAAGAAAACCACAGAGCTACAAAACAGAACTGCACTAAAGTTTAATTATAACTGCCTAAAAATGTGCACAAGAAAAATATCTTAAGAAACTGTGATAAGAGGTTAAGAAAATCACTTCAGAAAAGTGACAAGAAATTACTAACAGTGGCGTGTTAAAATGGAAAAGTTTCACCCTAACCGGTTTGGTTCAGTGGAAAGAGCGTCGGCCTGCGGACTGAAGGGTCCCAGGTTCGATTCCGGTCAAGGGCATGTACCTTGGTTGTGGCCACATCCCCAGTAGGGGGTGTGCAGGAGGCAGCTGATTGATGTTTCTCTCTCATCGATGTTTCTAACTCTCTATCCCTCTTCCTTGCTCTCTGTAAAAAATCAATAAAATATACTTTTAAAAAAATAAATAAATAAATAAAATGGAAAAGTTTCCCCCTTCACTGAAAACGCAGACAATATGCTTTCTTGAGTTTAACAGATAAAATATTTAAAATCAACGTAAAAGCCTACTCTAAAGGCTGTATTTACTTTCATAGATTTTTCTACTGCCTACAACTGAATATAGTATTTTTATTTGCCTTTTAAGATTTTCACCTAAAAATATTTTAAAAATCAATCTTTCCCCAGAAATTGAACATGGTGTTTTCTAAAATCTTGATTTAAAAAATCTCTCCTCCCAAAAAATTCAAGCAAAAGTTATTTTTTAACTACTAAACTAACTCACTACTAGTTATTACATAAACTTAACTCCTAACATCATACCATTTTCTGAACAAACAAAAGGTTTCTCTCCCGTGTGAAGGCGCTGGTGCGTTTTGAGCTGTCCGCTTTGAACAAAGGCTTTGCCACAGTCTGGATAGTCACACAGGTAGGGTCTCTCACCTATGTAGACAGATGGGATATATTATTTCTGAGAAAATAAGGTCAGAAGAGGGGCAGGGGGAGAGAATCAACCTCTATATAGATCAGGGGTGGGGAACCTTTTTTCTGCCAAGGGCCATTTGGTTGTTTATAATATTATTCACTTAATATAATTCACTTAATATATATTTATGTTGCTATGAAAAAAGCTCCTAGATTTATTGAATTTCGAGTCCTGCCTGCGGTTGCCTTGGCAGGGCCAGACCAAATGATTTCTCGGGCCTTATACAGCCCAGGGGCCGGACGTTCCCCACCCCTGATAAAGGTCATGATGCCAAACAACAATAAAACACATCAGCCTCTATAGAACTGCACGTGAAAATGCTAGGCAGCACTTCCATGCTCTGAAGCAGCTGTCCACTGGGAGCACAGTATTTTCCTTAGGCCTTGAGCTTTTAGGTACCCAGGCTCAAATCCTTGAAGTTATCATCTTCAGCTTAGCCCATATTTTCTCCTCCCCATAATCCAAATCACCTCTTGCAGATTCTTTACAATGTCTCCCACTCCTACTCCCCCTGCAACTTGCCCTGGTCGACTGGCAGCCCCTCCACCTCGAACAAGCCCTGGCTGTCCTCTAGTCACTCCACCTGCACAGTACTTCCAAAACAGCTGGCACAGAACTCCTGCCTTTGTCAGAGCAACTACCTCCTAACTCACCCCAAACCCTACTACACTCCTTGGACAAATAAAAATTATCTACTGAGCCCTAGCCAGTTTGGCTCAGTGGATAAAGGGTAGGCCTGTGTACTGAGGGGTCCCGGGTTCAATTCTGGTCAAGGGCATGTACCTCGGTTGCAGGCTCATCAGGGCACTTGTGGGGGGCAACCAATTGATGTCTCTCTCTCACTGAGATGTTTCTCTCTCTGTCTCTCCCCCTCGCTTCCCTTCGCTCTAAAAAAAATAAATAAGATCAATGGAAAAATGTCCTTGAGTGAGGATTAACCAAAAAAAATAATAATAATAATTATCTGCTGACTTCTAATTGGTCCCCGAAGATGCGCAATGTAGCTACTGGGTTAAGGGGCAGGGCTTATCTTTACTTCACCCCTGAGATTCACTCCAGCTAGGACAGTTCCTCATCTTGCTCTACTCCTTGCAAATCCTATCTTCTCTGCCCATTCAAACCTTCTCAATCCTGTAGGCTCTCAGTGAAACTCCTCCTACCTCCAAATAAGGAAGCTCTGTATCCTTTCACTTGGTATCCTGTGTTGTTCGTGGGTCATGGGACTCTCCTTATACAAAGATGCACAACACCTCATACTCCCTTTAATTCCCATACTCAACACAGTGCTAGGCTGGAGGAAGTGCTCAACAATGTTGTTCAGTCATAATTAAATAATTATTTCTTGAAAAATTATTCTTTGATCAACAATTATATTCTGGTTCTTCCAATATAACTCAAAGACCAGGAACCAGACCTCCCTAAATTTCTCATTATTTAGAAATGTACTAAATGGTTGTGATAGTTGGACACAAGGTAATAAAACACAGGAGATAGGAGGATTATTTAAAATAGTAAGAGAGAAGCTCTTTACAAAGTATATATTATCAGATCTTAACTATTCCATGATCTTGGGCTCAATTTCCTGCCAAACAACATACAGCATAGCAGGCAGATACCTGGAAGTATCAGGTGACACACAGTGGATTAGTGATCAGGACTGGGACTCAGAGATCTTTTCATTATGCCACATGGTCTTGAATCTTATCTACACTGGCAACATGTACTCCACAGCCTGCACACCAATTACTTGGGGTATTTCAAATTAATTAGATTTTTCTTCCAGATTTTTTTTAATTTCAAGAAAAGCGATTTTAAATACAATAATGTTACATGCAATAAACCATAATATTTCAAGAAAAACGATCTTAAATATAATGTTACATGTAATAAACATATCTCAAGAAAAATGATTTTAAATGTCACATGCAATAAACACTAATCTTTCAAGAATAAAAGGATTTTAAGTATAATAATATTACCAAAACTGTACTAACATATTATGATATCACAAAAGTTGTAGGAAATATTAAAAATCTGCAAATAACAGGATTACTTCTATTATGCTTCTAGAATATTTTTTTCCCTCTGGCTCTATTTTTGTTCAGTTCATGTTGTTCCTTATATTCCACAAATGAGTGAGATCATATGATATTCATCTTTCTCCAACTGGCTTATTTTGCTTAGCATGATGCTTTTAAAGGCTATTTTGTCAGATATGAGTATTGCTACTCCAGCTTTTGTTTTTCTTTTCCATTTGCATGGGATATTTTTTTCTCATCCCTGCACTTTCACCCTGTGTGTGTCTTTTATTTTGAGGTGGGTCTCTTGTAGACAGCATATAGTTGGGTCATGTTTTTGTATCCATTCAGCTACCCTACACCTTTTGATTGGAGCATTTAATCCAGTTACATTTAGGATTATTGAGAGATACTTATTTATAGCCATTTTAATTCGGTATGACTAGGTTTCTCTCTCTGTTTCTTCTTCTCAGCAATCCCTTTAGTATTTCTTGTAATGTTGGCTTGGTGGTAATGAACTCCTTTAGCCTTTTTTTTGTCTGGGAAACTCTTTGTTTGACCATCTATTTTGAATGATAGTCTTGCTGGATATAGTAATCTTGGTCTCAGATCCTTGCTTTCCATCACCTTGAGTACTTCATGCCATTCCCTTCTGGCCTGTAGAGTTTCTGGTGAGAAATCAGGTGTCAGCCTTCTGGGAACTCCTTTGTAGGTAACAGTTTTCTTTTCTCTTGCTGCCTTTAAGATTCTCTCTTTGTCTTTAATTTTTGGCATTTTAATTATGATGTCTGGGTGTGCGTCTTTTTGGGTTCTCTTGTTTGGGGTTCTCTGTGCCTCCTGAACTTGTGTGACTTTTTCCTTTACCAGGTTAGGGACATTTTCTACCATTATTTCTTCAAACACCTTCTCTATTCCTTTCTCCCTTTCTCCCTCTTCTGGCACACCTACTCTTCTAATATTGTTACGTTTCACATTGTCTCACAGCTCCCTTAAGCTGTCCTCCTGTTTTTTAATTGTTTTTTCTTTTTGGTTCTCTGAATGATATTTTCAACTGTCTTCTAATTCACTGATTCGATCCTCAGCTTCCCCTAATCTGCTGTGTATTCTTTCCAATGTTTCTTTCTTTGTGTTATGTCATTCTTTATGTCAGATTGTTCTTTTTTCATAGTTACTATATCTTTTTTCACACTGTTGAGTATTTTTAACATCATTACTTTGAACTCTATTTCAGATAATTTCTTATCTCTATTTCATTTATCTCTTCTTCTGGAAAATTCACTAGCACTTTCATTTGGGGGTTGTTTCTTTGTTTCTCATTTTGGTTGTCTGGGTTTGTGACTGTGTATTAGGTAGGTCCTCTACACCTCTCAATCTCTAGCACAGGACAGTGTTAAAAGCTGTTTCTGTCTAATTGTATCGGGCAAAGATGCAAAGCCTCCAGAGACCACCTCTGTCTACAGACTAACAGGATTCTGGCTTGAATTGCCCCAAAGGCAATCATCTTCAGGTGTGGCGAGAATTTTTTTCAACAGGGTGGGGCAGTTGCTTCTGCCTGGTGTATCGACTGTCTTCCCTGCAGGCGAGGCAGATGTCTATGTGGGAAAGATGTCCTTCGCTCTGTGAGAGAATGACTCAGCCCAGGAAACTTGGGGTGTCTGCCTTCTGAGCTCTATCCCCCGAATCCCCAGGCCTGGGTTCTGCTCTCACAGTTCCAGTCCATTTCACTCTCCCTCTGCCAGAGCACAAGGTGCATTGGCCCTTTAAGAGGGTGCCCAAACTTCCAGCTGCCACTCCCTGGCAGACAGCACCCCACTGCTTTTCACAGCCAGTTGTTATGTGAGTGCCCTCTCAGTTTGGTGCTCTCTGCTGGGGAAGCCCATCTTCAGGATTAGATTCCCGAGTTCTCAGTGGCTCCCCCCCACAGCTGAGATATCTCTCCAGGACTTCAGTTGCCATCTGTGGGTGCCCGGCCAGCCCTTTCACGCCTCCACCCCTCCTACCAGTCTCTCTGTGGTCTCCACCTTCGGTCCTTGGGAATCAGGGTTCTCTCCTGCGAGTTTTCCGTTGATTATTCCAGAAGCTTTTCTGTATTTCAGTTGTAATTCCAGCTTGTTCCTGGGAGCATGTCCGTGCAGCATCCTCCTACTCTGCCACCATTTTTCAGATTTTTTAAAAATACAAAAATTCTGTTCTGGCCAGGGCAGAATTTTGTCATAGCAATACCTCCTGGTGGCTCAGTTGGTTGGAGCATTGTCCCACACACCAAAAGGTTGGGAGTTCGATTCCCAGTCAGGGCACATACCTAGGTTTCAGGTTCAGTCACCGGTGGGGCGCATATGGGAGGCAACAGATTAATGTTTCTCTCTCACATCAATATTTCTCTCTCTTCTCTCACACTTCTCTCTGCCCCCCGTTTATGATTCAAAATTCAAATTTTACCCTTTTTTAGGAATTTAGCTAAGGATTTAGCTGTATTCTAGATAACATTAAAATATGTTTTTTCAAAAACGAAAAAAGAAATAGGTGATGACCACAGTGGGAAAAATAGGGACTAAGAGTTAAAAACCCAAATGCCAGACCAGTAGTGCCCAACAGAAATAAAGTATAACCTACTTCTAGTAGCCACATTAAAAAGGAAAGAAAAACAGGTTAAATTAATTTTGATAGTGTATTTTATTTAACCCACTGTATCTAACATATTATCATTTCAGTATGTACTCAGTATCAGAAAGTATTAAGGACATCATTTACTCTCTTTTTATCATTCAAGTGTACTTCACACACACTGCCCATTTCGATTAGTTGAAGCACATGTGCTACTCCAGGGGCCAGCAGACTGCAGGGGAGGAGAGGGTGTAAGCAGTGGTATTTGCCTTTTGGTACCTCAGTCTCCTCAACTGTGAACAATTAGATACCATGACTAGAACCATAAGGCTCCTTCTTCTGAGGCCACCTTTCTCTGTGGAAAGAGCAAGGACGCTATATTTTTTGCTCTCTTTCTATATGGTATTTTAATTGCCAGTGTCATTTCTCTACACAAATAGCGATGTATGATAGTCTTGAAATAGCTGCATACAATACATTAATTCTGAAAAGTTATGCTTCACCTTGGATTTAATGGCTAGGTCAAACACTTGCATGGCACACTGAGGGCTCTGGAAATTTTATTAAAAATTTGACAATTACTATTTTAGTATATGGCCTACAAGTCAGTTTAAACAATTATACAGACAAGGGCCTATCAAGTAAAACTCAGCTAGGTAGAAGGATAACATTAAATGTAGTAATAACATTCCTCTGACTACTAGATTAATTGCCCTATAACTTCAGAAGTCATGTGGTTCAGAAAGCCATCACTTTCCACCAAAAAATAAACTGACTACCTGTAACAGTGAAATGCTTCCTCTCTCTTTTGGCCTTCAGCTAACAGCTCCTGCTACAGATATGATAATTACCTAGAGGTATTCTGCTTGCAGTATTGGGGGTTTTTTTTTAAATTTTTATTTACTGATTTGAGAGAGAGAGAAACATTGATTTGTTGCTCCACTTATTTATGCATCACTGGTTGATTCTTTTTTTTTTTAAATCTTTATTTACTGATTTGAGAGAGAGAGAGAAACATTGATTTGTTGCTCCACTTATTTATGCATCACTGGTTGATTCTTGGATGTGCCCTGACCGGCAACCAAACCCACAACCTTGGCATAGCGGGGACTATGCTCTAACCAACTGAGCTAGAGTTTCTGCAAGAGCAGCCCCTTGCCACAGAGGGTGCTTCCCCACACCCCCAAGAGGTAGGAAATATGTACAATTCACAGGAGCCTCCATAACTGGACTCAGATCTCAGATCAGTGGGGTCGGGGAGGGGTGGGTGTCAATGGACCAGGACCAACTGGGAACAAAGGGATTGGGAAATTTTACTCTTCCTTGGATCCCTTTCAACACCTACCTGCCTACACCCACCCTTGCCTTGCCCCTCCTCCCTTCCCTTAACAATAAAAGATGCCCAAATTCCAGATTCTTCTTAAAATGGATTTGATAATTAGTTCATCTTCTCAAGCCAGGCTTTCTCAATCAATAAACCTTTCCTTACTTCAAAACTCTGATCCATTGAATATTGGCCTTTCTTTTGAAGTATCAGGCCCCCAAACCTTGGGCCTGTAACATACACAGTGCCTGTTTAAAAAAAAAACTACAATGAGAAAATATAAGGCAATTAAAAAAATTAATTTATAAGCCCAAACATCAAATCAGCTTTCAGTTAGGTATTATTTTTGACATTCTCTAAAATTGGCTCAACTTACCTGTGTGAGTCCTTTTGTGAGCCTGGAGCGATTTCTCCCGTGGAAACACCCTGTTACAGATGTTACAACGAATTCTGCTGGACGAATGCTCTCCTTCATTTATTAAATCCCGGACAGTATCTGCTCTGGGTCGACCACGCCGGATTCCATCCTGTAAACAATTTGTATAAACACTATTATATTTCTTGGACTCCACTCATTATAGCAAAATATCATAATAAATGATTTTTTAAACTCCTTCTTGAGTGACATCACCAAGAATGGTAGAGTAGATAGTTTCAAGGACCCATCCCTCCCCAGATCACTGAAAAATCGAGTTGTCACAATCAGCTGTCACAACTCCAGGAAATCACAGCAACTCAGTGAACACTGAGTCAAGAAAAAAGCAACTTGAAATAGTAGGAAAGCTTTACAGCATTTTGCACTTGCCCTTGCCCCTCTCCTTACTACACAGTGGTCTTGAAGCAGCAGCCTTCACTCTCAGTATGGGAACCTAGTCCCTGGCTCCAGAGAGAGCAGAGCAGACATTATTATGAAAGAATTGTGTCTGTTTGACCTGAAGGACTGATGCAGGGTGTCTTTGATCTAACTTAGAACTCTCCAGGGTATAACAGTGCTACTCAAAACCTCTGTGAGGCAACTGACAACGTGCTGCCACCTGGGGCAAAAGAATTCAACTGAGGCAAACAAATATGCCAAAAGCCTGGGAGGAAACACTGGGGAGAGTGTCTTTGGGAAATTAGGGCATTGGGCCTAAGGATAGGAATTGAGAAAGCCACACATTTGCCCAGGGTGGGAAGCATGCCCAGAAAAGACCTAAAAAGGCGGGAAGCTTTCACCTTTGGCTGATGTTAGGCTCAACACAAGCAGGAAATGAAGACTAAGGCAGAGTTGAAAAAGAGCTAAGGCACAGAGCCATTCTGCAACAATTACAAGGTTTTTTCCCTTTCTTTTTTTGGCTCCGGCATTCAAGATCTCTCTCGAAGGATGAGCTGATCACAAGCTAAAGAAACAGACTTTAGAGGACAAACATAACAAAATAGAGTTTACAAAAACAGTCTAGAAAACTTGCCAGACAACTAGAATCCACAGCAAACAACAAAAACAAATTCTGAGAGAGAAGAATCTGATTTTCAGAGTTACCACATTATAATATTTAAAACATCCAGTTTTCAACAAAATATTATAAAGCATGCAAAGAAACGAAAGCATGGTCCATATAGAGAAAAAATTAATAGAAATAGACATTGGCGTTACTAGACAAAAACTTTAAATGAATAAGGGATAACAAAAAATCAGGAGAACACTCTTTCAACAAATAGAGAATATCAATAAAGAAACAAATTGTTTTTTTAAAGAAATTCTGGAACTAAAAAGTACAATAACTAAAATGAAAATTTTGACTAGAGATCACTAATGGCAGATTTAAAAGGGCAAAAAGAAAAAAGTTAGCAAGTTTGAAGATAAGTCAACTTAAATTATCTAGTTAGAGCAGGGATGGGAACATCTGGTCCGCAGGCAGTATAAACCCACGAGATCATTTGGTCTGGCCCTACCAAGACATTAGGGTGAGTTAATTAAATGTATGACCAAAAATAGTGGGCTAATTTTTAAGTTGATACTTTTATATGGCCTGTGAATAATCTACACTAATAAAAGAGAAAAATGGTAATTAGCGTACGACCGCTACCCTTCCCATTGGCTAATCAGCATATCCTTATGCAAATCAACTGCCAACTAAGATGGCGGTTAACCG